GCTAAATCTCCAGCCCTAAGGATTTCTTTTTGAATTAAGTGTGTTTCTTGTATACAGCATAGTGTTGGCTTTTGCTTCTTAATCCATTCTGCCAGTCTATTTCTTTTGATTGGTGAATTGAGGTCAATAACATTGATGGTTATAACTGATATGTATTGACTTATCCTTGTCATGATATTTACCTATTGTTGGCCCTTTTATTCTTATTTCCCCCCTTTCCCTTTAATTTCTTGCTTTGCCTGTGGCATTGCTTTGTTGGGCCTCATGGAGTTGTGACCCTCATAGTTTTTTTCTAGGATATTGTTTAGAATTGTTTGGAGTGCTGGTTTGGTATTCATGAAGTTTCTCAGGTGTTCTTTGTCATGGAAATATCTTATTTCTCCATCAATTTTGTTTTGCAGGATACAGCTATCTAGGTTGGAGATTTTTTTAATTTTAGGGCTTGAAATACCTCACTCCAGCCTTTACTTGACTTGAGGGTTTGTGTTGAAGAGTCTGCTCTGATTCTGATGGGCTTTCCTTTGTATGTGATTTGTTTCTTTTCTCTAACTGCTTGCAGTATTTTGTTCTTCTGTTGGGTTTCTGGGATCTTGACTATTATATGTCTAGGTGTAGATTTTTTTTTTTATTATGTCTAGTTGGAGTCCTGCATGCCTCATTTATCTGTATGCCAAATTCTTTTCCTCTGCTTGGGAAGTTTTCTGCCATTACTTTTATAAACAGGTTTTTTTTTTTAATGTCATGTGTACTTTCCCCTTTTTAGTGGACTTTGATCAGTCTTATGTTATTCTTTGTATCATCTAGCAACTTCTGGATATCTTAGTATTTTAAAGAAATCTTTCTTTCCTGGTCACTAATCACAGTCCTGTCATCTATATCTGATATTCTGTCTTCACATTGGCCCATTCTGCTGTGAATACTTTCAATGGAGTTTTTTGTGTTTTTTTTTAATCTCCTGCATATCTGTTTGAAGCTGTTTCATGGTTTCCATTTCTTTCCTATGGTGGGCATTCATGGCTTCTATCATGATCCTGAGCCTATGTATTTTTTTAATCTGTTCCTGTTGTAGAATTTCTAATCATGTGTTTCATTCTGCTGACCATCTCTGTAGTTATCTGGGAAATTATTTCTGTTTTGAATTTTTTTAAAGCCTCACTCACCTGTTTTGTTATTTCCCACGCTATCAGTTCAGGGTGTCCAGGTGGTTGATTATCAGATTTTTTCACCTTGTTGCCCCCAGAATTTGCCTTTGGTGAGCTGCAAGTCTGGCTTTGCTTCTTGTTTAGGTGTCTTCTCATTTCTATTTTTGTTGTTGGTGCTATTTTGGCTTAATTCCTGTGTTGATACCTCAATATTGCTTACTATGAGTATCTTTATTGTATTTAGAACCCTTACAGAATGATTGCTTCTCAGAGGTGTCTTCCAGGTATAACTGCTCTTTAGGGTTTGAGTCTCTAATGACTCTTAGGCAATCTCTTTATCAGTGTACCAGGAAGGACAACTGATTAGATCAGTCACAACACCTTAACCCAAGTGATACAATCAGCATCAACAATAGCATCAAGCACATCTTAGAAAATGACAATTTGTGGTAGCTATTAATCTGTCACCTTTATGGGCATGAACTAGATAAAAATTGAGGGCCAGCCCAAAATATATTTGTAGTAAATAAACCCTTCAATATAGTAAATTTACCCTTTGGGATGAGGACTTAGAAGGAATTAGGGAAGGAGGGATAGAGGGATAGAAGGAGAGGGAAAGGTTAGAAGTGAGGCCAGAGGACACAGGGAGATCACACAAACTTTGGCAAACCATTGAAGACAAGAGGAAAAGACAGAGTGAAGGAACAAAGACAAGAACAGAAGAAACTAGCAACAATAGGAAAGCTAGAAACTGTATTCACTTTCCTATAAAAACAATGACAATTGAGAGAAGGAAAGAGAAAAAAATCTGAAGTAGGAGAGGAATAGGAACAAGAAGGGAGAGAAATCAAGAACAAGAAAGAAGAGGGAGAGAAAAAGAAAAGAGAAAAAAATACATTAAAAAAGGGCCTCCCTCAGGGTATGTCTCTGCTGTCACAATAGACAATGTTGGCAGGAGTGTGCAGATCTAAGTGGATTAGCAAGCCAGCCATAGTCCACTAAATTTCAGGCTGATTTCTGGCTGCAAGGCCCTAGTTGAGTTTCCTGGCCTCTTGTAGGATTTAACTCTGCAAGGGTCTACTGCAGGTTCCAGCTGCCCTTCCACCAAAGTGAGTCTGGATTCCGATGGGAGGTGCTGTTCCCATCAGTTTACTAACCATGGTTGTCTGGTGTGCCTTTATTGCAGAGATTTTCTTCACTTTCCCAGTGGGTTTCAATTTCATCCAGAAGCCTCAGAGAGACCCTCTCTCTGTTGTTCACTTCTGCTTTATCTTTTGGAGCTCATAACAATGGCTTTTTTGGCCCCTGGTGTCTCTGCACTGTGGATCCAGATAGGGCCCATGTTCAAAGGTGCCGGGTGCCAGGGTGGCAGGGGGTGGTCCTCTCCTAGATCCTTTCAAAGGGCTAAGATGACTGTAATTTTCTCCAATTGCTGTATTGTGCATTAAAAAATATTTTCATTAGAAAATAAATAAACAAATTATTAAAAAAAGGAAAACTATACAATTTTATATTTCCCACCAGCACTATACATGAGCTCATTCTCTACATTCTTAGAAGAATTTGTTAATGTAATTTTTTTGTTAAGTTATTGTTTTAATGTGTAGCCTCCATATCTTTCATATGCTTGTTTTTGCTGTATATTGTATAAACTTGACTTGTCACATATAGAAGCTATACCCTGCAACTGAAGCATATACTCATTTAAATTATGCAGATTATTTAGCATATTTGACTATATCAGATATATTTCAAACCTCAAAAATATTTAAAATACTAAAATCATTTAAAATTAAATTAGTAATCAGTAATAAAATAATTTCAAAATTTCCAAATGATACAAAATTTAATACACCCTTAAGTAATCCATTGTCAAAAATAATTCTAGTGACAACTAGAAATTATTTTAGCTGAATAACCACAGAACTATGACACATAAATTTTCTGGAATACAGACAAGTCTATGCTTAGAGAATAACTTATTGTTTAACTGCTTATATTAGAATGGAAAAATGTCTAAAAATAGTGGTCTAAGGAGAGAACTCAAAAAGAGAAAAAATAGAAACACATAATAAACCTAATGAAAGTAGATGAAAGCAAGTAAAATAAAAATTAGAACAGAAAATAATTAAATAGAAAATGAAAAATAGAAACATTCAAAGATGGTAAAAGTTTATTTGTAATGACTAATGAGACTAAACAGAAAATTGAAATTTTCCAAATTGGAAAGTCATAAATAGACACCAACATAAATTATAATAAGAACATAAGGGAATGAAATGACAAGCAACAGATTGGGAGAAAATATTTATAAATCACATATCTGACTGAGCAATGTGTCCAGAATCTATAAACAACAAAAACAGCAATAAGAGAACAAATAGCCCCATAAAAATAGGAAACAGACTATATTTTTACATTTCTAATTATAATATAATTATGTAAATATTGAAAGCTTTCATTGTTTAAGATCCATGCGTACAGAACACACATGGACACACTTGTTAAATCTTAGTCCAAACCTACTGATTTTTGATTCTGTTTTTGTAAAACCCTAATTCTCTCAAGAACATCTTTAGAAAATCAAAACATTCATTCTTCCACATGACATCTATTTGAAGATCACTTCCATATTTTCTCCCAAGTTTTCATTCCTCCAGGCTCAACTGTTCTCCTGTTTTATTTTTAGATCATTTTTCATCCTGCTTTCAACTTTATTAGTTTTGTTATATTTTATTATATTTCCTTGGAGAAGTGGTGCACTTCTCCAAGGAGGATAGGAATAGATGATTCTCCCTATATAATTTTCCAGATGAGACCTTTAGGGCTATTGTACAAATATTGATAGTGCCTCAGTTTGAATCCTATTTTCCTGATTTAACTAAAGAAAAATATTAGACGGGAGAGTGGTGCAGCAAATATTACTTTGCTCCTTTCAATTATACCCCAATTACCCTGCATTATTAATTTTTATCTGAAACATTTCCTTCAGTATTCAAACACCATGTCTCTCCTCCACCTTTTTCAAAGCAGAAATACCAAAAACGAAAATAATTATCCTACTTTAAACATATCTTCCTCTAGCTATGATCTATCATATTGAAAAGATTTTCAGTCTCCATGAACTTATTTCCATTCTTTCTTGGAACTGCTTGTATCCCATTTTCTGTTGCTACAGCAAAATACCTCAGCATAGATACTTGACAAAGAATAGAGGTTTATTTAGCCCGCAGGTTTGGACACTGAAAGTGCAAGATCGATGGCCTTTTTTCTGTCCAGTGTCTCTTGAGGATTTCAAGATGGATGGCATCACAATGGTAGGAGCGTGTGTAGAAGAGATCACAAGGTGAGACAGGAAGCTGGGGACTCAGGAGTCAGGCTCACTATTCTTATCATGAACTGTCCTTAGGGAAATTAGCTGGTAATGCAAGAATTGCTTATTCTTAAACAAAATATTGTTTAGTTGTGTGTTTTTAAAATTTACATAAATAATAGTAAAGTGCTGTTTTATGGTTTACTTCTCTGTGGGGAGCGGTGGTAGCTAAGGAGACTCCATTTTGAATCTTAACCTCCATTGTATGGAGACTGTTATGAGGAACCGCGTCCTTACCTAAATTGGATGTTTACCTTCAGAGATTGCCCTGGAATGTGATGATCGTTCTGTAGCCCCGAGAAACGGGAAGGCCCATGAGGGTGGGGAATTGCCAAGGGACTGGAAAGCAGGGAAGCAGGTGTCCCTGGATAAGGGTCATGATGTAACAACCAAACTCACCTGTAACAACCAAATTCACCTGTAACAAACTCACGGGTTGTATAAAAGGGAAGAGAAAAATAAACTCGTATCTCGGTCTTGGGAGCCCTGACGACTCTGTCTTTTTTCTTTTGAAGTGTGTTTTTTCTTTCATCCTCACCCCTCCTCTCAGGTACTGTTCGACTAGTGACGGCGGGCTCCGTCACTTCTCTATTGGTTAATTGAATTTTTTGAGATCATGCTGATTCATGTAGTTTTAGTTTATTAATTTTCATTTCTATATAGTTTTGTATTACATAGAAAGTACCGTACTTTATTTATCCGCTGAATTTTGACATTAGATATTTGAACTATTTCTTTTATTATATATCTGTGCATTTATTAACTTTTCATCTCTCGATGCACATGTCCAATGTTTTGCTTATCTAAACCTGTTATGGTTTAGATAAAAAATGCCCCCCAAAAGTCTTATATGTTCAAAGGTGGGGCTCTTTGAAGGGGGCTGGGTCAAAGGAGAGCTATGAGTCCACTGAATGTCCACTGAGTTCAAAACTGAATGTGATGTTACGAGGTTGCCTAGTTGGAGGAGTAGGGTCATTGAGATATCCATACTTTTGGACGGTGTACCTTTCCCTCTGGTTCCTGCTCTTCCTCTGCTTCCTGGCTGCCATGCTTGAGCAGCTTTCCTTCACCATGCCCTCTACATTGAAGCCAGTAGTCATGGATTGAATTCACTGAAACTGTGAGGTTAAATAAACAGTGAGGTAAAATAAACTCTTTTAAGTTGTGGAGGTGGAGTATTTTGTCCCAACAAACAAAAAATGACTAATAAATCTGTTGAAGATAGAAATGAGACTCAATTTGCATTTTAGAGGGAAGAAGAGCTGTTCTTGGTCAGCTGTTCTTGGTCAGAACCTGTTCTTGCTCCGATGCTCTAGGCCTCTCTGTGAGGACCATGGATAGAGTGGAAGACAGGGTATAGGTGAGCTGCCTTGAGCCTTTCTGAGTGTATATATGATTTACTAATTCTTGCCAATCTTTAAGGTAGTACATGCTGTTTTATTGTGCTTTAAATGTAAACTCCCAGTTATTATTTGAGTGGCTTTTAAAAGGCTTTAATATATCCATGCGCTATTCATGTTTCACATATGGAATGCCAAGTCATGTCTCTACCCCAATTTTTTCTTAATTTTATTTTTTAAAAAGTATTGCCACAAAATATACAAAACAGTACTTGTTATCTTATTTTTACATTTTTTACTTTACTTTTAATTGACAAGCAATAGTCATATATATTTATGAGGTACAGTATGCCATTTATACACAATTAGTACATCCATGGCCACACATTTCTTTGTGGTAGAACATTTAAAATCTGTAGCAATATTAAAATATATAATACATTATAATTTACTGTAATCACCACATAATACACTAGAATACCAGAACTTATTCTTACTGTCTCACTGAAGCTTTGACCAATATCTCCCCTTTCCAAATCTATACCTCCTCTTCCACCCCAGCCTCTGATAACCACCTTCTACCCTCTCCTTCTGAGTTGAATGTTTTTAGGTTCCACCTATAAGATACCAAGCAGTATTTGTCTTTCTGTGCTCACCTCAGTTCAATTAGCTTAATGTCCTCCAGATTCATTCATGTTGTTACAAATGACAGAATCCCCTCCTTTTCTAAGGTCAAGTAGTATTCCCTTGTGTATATGCACTGGTTTTTAAAATCCATTTACCTGCTGATAGACTCTTCAATAAACTCAATAATTTACATATCTTCACTATTGTGACATCTTACTCACTAAAAAGGTTCAGTTCGACAGTGTTAAGTATTGACATTGCTACACATTCAACCTCTGGAATGTTTCATCCTGCAAAACTGAATCTGTATACCCTTTAAGCAACAGCTCCCCACTTTCTTCTCCTCATCGCCTCTGGTGCTCACTATTCTACTGTTTTATATTCATGAGTTACTCCAGGCATTTTGTGCTTCGCTTATTCCACTTAGCAAAATATCCTCAAAGCGTATCCCTATAGTATCATTTTATCATTTGTTAGAATTTCCTTCTTTCTTTCTTTTTGAGATGAAGTTGTTGCTGTGTTGCTCAAGTTGGGCTTGAACTCACAATCCTCCTTCTTTAGCCTCCAAAGTAGCTGAGATTTCAGGAATATGTTTTTCCTTTTTAAGGTTGAATAATATTTTGCTGTGTGTACATCATATTTGATTACTCTTTAATCCATTAGTAAATATTTAGGTTGCTTCTACATTTTGGCTATTGTTTTCTTTTAATTTTTTTTTTATTGGTACATTTTATGTACACAATATAATGACATTCTTCATTGGAAATTTGCACCTTTACGTAATCTCTCTTGGTTCTTATTTTTTACCCATTCCCCTGCCCTCCTTTTAACCCCTCCATCCCTCCCTATTTACAAAGATTTTGTTTCCATTTTTTCACTTTCTCATATTAATTCCATTCCCTTCTTTTCTTTCCCCTATCCCTCCCACTTCCTGTTCCCTCTTGCGCCTTTTCTTCCTATTTCACGTTATCTATGATACCTTTTAGTCCTTATTTACACTTTCAGTTTCTCACACCAGAGAAACTTTTTGGTATTTACACGTGTCCTATTTATTTCACTTAAGAGTATCACCTCAATGTGCATCCATTTAGCTATAAATGTCTCTAATTTCTCATTTTTTATGGCTGA